TTTGCCCTTAATTGTTGTTACAACTAATTATTATAACTCTCTGACATAGATAATTTTGTTTCTATTGTTTTTTATGCTAAATCTGAGGATATTTTTAACATTAATGTCATTCATAAGATAAAATTGATGTCATCCAAACTTCAGATATGAAAATCCCTTTTTTCTTCCAGTCCAATGCACCTCAACTTCAAACAAGTTACTATCGCTAAGTTGAAGTAAGTACTTTTTAGGTTTATATACTAGACCTAGACCTTTAGCACAAAATTCAATAGGCAAAACCTATTATGTAATACAAAATTTATAAATCATTCATCCATTATATAATGTAACATAATACATATTTTATATTTAAAAACAACATCAACTTACCAAAAAGTTTGTTGTAATACAAAAAGACATTTCTAAAACAAGAAATGAAACCTGTTATCTTCAAATTCATTGTCAAACAAAATTTCATTACTAAACTATCTTGCAAGTTCATGTCATGCTTCTGCCATACATTGAGATGAAGTTTTGCAATGTCTTACACAATATGAGTGCACTATTTCATTAAGAAATGTATCATACACTCTAATCTTGAAGACGTGTTCTCCCTCATACAAAAATTTCAATCAACCCCCATCATTCAAATCATAAATTGAACCTAATATTTATCACCCATGGCTAAGAAATAGTTTTATATCAACTCTCTTAACATTTACTCTAATTTTTAGTATCAATTCGGTCATGCAGTGAAATAATTTCAAGAATGGAATGAAAGAATGATCTTGAGCAAACATATGAAATCAATAGAAAATGCTATAACTAAATATTATATTACAAACAAGTCAAACTTCAAAACTTTCAATTATACTAATAAGATCACCTTAACTTGTGTTTTTACATCCCTGACAACACATTCAATCTTCAACAATAGCATGTAATAAACAACAAAACTATGTCATTTTCACCCTTTGCACAAAAATTTAAAAAAGCATACACATATCAAAAAAATATTTCATCACATTATTATATCATATCAATGTTTCTGATAAATTATAACACCATGTTAAAATATCCTAAAATATTAAGTCATATACAATGCCTCTACACACAAATTTAAAAATTGAATCATATATACAAAATTGTTATCACAAATATAATTACCATATGTTGAAATGCACCATTGCAAACAAAAAATTGTAAACCATAACCATATAGGAAACATTCAAATTTTTTCAATCAAATTAAAAAACATAAACGTATCATCACAAAGGGTAAATATTTGTTTTAGGACAAACATGTAACACCAAACCATGTATAATAATAAAAATTATTACAACAAATAAATAATCAAACTCTTATTCAATAAATAATAACTAAACTATCTTCATTTATTCTACCTAAAATTTTTATGCCACAAACAGATAAGGATTATTTATTCTGCAAATAACAATTTCATTGCTTTACCCGATACATATTTAATAATAATAAATAAAAAAACAGAACTATCAAACACAAACCTCATTCAATATATCAAACATGAAGAAGACACAAAATAAACAAATCATTTATCACAGTCCATAACAAATAACATTGTTGTACAAGATATCATATATATTTAGTAAAAAAAATCCATCAAAATAAAACTTAAAATAAAAATACCTCATAGCACAACCTCTTCATGAACTATACCAAAAAATTTATGTACTTAAAATTTATTATTTCTCACACCTTTGAACTAAATTAACACAACAAACAAAATTTCATCTCATCTCACTTTTTTTTTTCCAAATTAATGCAAAAATAACATAGATTAACAACCCACCTTCCACAAAATTCTTCAACACATTCAGGTTTCTTCTATACGGGATGGAGAAAGAAAATAACTCACCTGTCACAATCTCTTAGCACACCGTTCCACTCTACATGCAAAATAAATCATCTCCTTCCATCATCTCATTTCTTCTTTTTTACTATGGTCTCAAATGCTCAAGAATGTGAAGGATTTTTAACAAAATAATAAATAAAATAAACATTACAATTACTTAATCAACTTACATGCAGATAAGCCACCAAATTTGACGAAATTACATAACTATCATTCACCAAAATTTACTTATATCGTCAATTTTTCTGTACTGCAATATTAACCATCAAATTCAAATACCCATTGTGAAAAAAGAATTTGAAATTGCTTATATGATAGATGTATTTCAAATAAGTACCATAAAGACCATAATAGACGTCCTTCAAAATCGCCAAATTTATGAATTTGCTTAGTATTTTTTTTGGGTAAAATAAATATTTTAATTCTCTAATTTTATTTTTCATTTTAATTTAGTCTTTCAATTTTATTTTATTTTTATTTTAGTCTTTTAAATTTAATTTCAAATTTCTTGCCTATACAGTTTAATTGCAACTTTGGAAGGAACTCGTACATGGGGTTATATGGTACTGTGTTGAATTTTGGGATGCCTTCGTTAGGTACTGAACAGTATGGATGAACAAGGTAGTTAAAATCCCGATTTGAATCTTAAAATCTTACAATTTTACGATTTTGGAAGTTTCACCGATTTAAATCGTGGATAAAATCCTAATTGAGTAAAATCCTTGTAAAATCCCGATTTGAATCATAAAATCCCTCAAATTATGAGATTTCACGATTTCACTTCGATTTAAAAAATTTTCCGCAAAGTCTATTTTGTTGAACCCTATCGTAGCTGATGCCTCTTTCATATATCTCCTTTTTATGGAATCTAATTTGACTCTAGCAGCTTTGAACCCTAACATTGTTGTGAACATTTAATAGTCCTCCTAGTGCGTGCAACCTGGTCTACAACTAAATCTATTGTTGTTGTTCTTGCATATTTTCTGTTCTGGTCTATTTTTTACTCATGTAAATGCATTACATTGTTATGGAATAAATTATGATTTGTGAGTGCTACATTGTTTAAGTGCTTTTACTGATTTAAAGCTTTTTTCTCTTAATTTATGATATTTTATATGAATAACATGAATTTATATTATATATATGAATTTATAAAATCTTACGATTCAATTTACGATTTTACGATTTACGATTTTCACTTTCTTTTATGATTTAAAGTAAAATCCCGATTTTAACTACCTTAGGGATGACAATGGGTAAAGTACCTGATGGGCACCTGCAAATATTTATCCGCTATACAGGTACGGGTATGGGTATGGGTAAAAGTCCGCAAATTTTAATGGGAATGGGTGTGGGTATGGGTATCTAAGTACCCACCCCGCCCCATACCCGCATATATATATATGCTTGAACTTTATTCTACAATTATGCATTGAATTTTTGTATTATTATATTACTTATGTGAAGTTATATAAGATTAATATAAAAATATATTTAATAATAAAGTAAACTAAAAAATTTATTTTGGTTTATATTTTTAATAGAAAAATTTATTTACTATTTTATATCATTTAATTAGGCTAACACAATTTAATTATTACATAGTTAATATGAGATTGACTTTTTTTAAAATATTATTTATATATGACACACATAAAATATTTTTTACACAAATATTTTTGTTAATAAAATCATATTGATGTTTAAATCATAAAGTGAATGATAAATAATAAATATATTATAAATATTTTATAAATTTTACAATCACCTACTATTACCATAAACTTATTATTTATTAATAATATTTAAATTTTATTTTTTATATTTTAATTGAAAATAATATTTTTCTATGCAACATATGTATTATAAGTACAACTATAATATATTGAATCTAAATAATATTATTCTTACTATTTATTCACATTCAAAGAAGTTTTTGAAAAGATATAAATATAAAAAATTATTGTTAATTTTTATTTGTTAATTTTTTCAGATAAAAAAGTATAATTTTTTTAATATACACGTATATTTCTTTATTATAAAATTTTATTGTAACTATTTATCTTTTATTCAAATTCTTTCTTTTAAAATTTATATACATTATAAATATTTAATTCACTAAAATAATTTTTCAAAAATTTATATTTTTGATAAAATACTTTCGTATAGTATATGAGTTAAAAAATACTAGTATTAATATATATATATATATATATATTAATTATATTATATTATTTTAATTAAATATATTATTTTTCTTACAATTTCAAATTCAAAAGTTAAAAAAAATATTTTATGTATCCACTTTCTGTTGTTAATATTGAACTTCTCTACTCTAACTCTATTCTCATTCTCAATGTCTGTCTCACTAAAACTTAACAACTATGAAACGTTATTAATTAGAATTAGTTTTCAATGCCGTCACAAGAAGATACTAAGTGAATTAGTTTTCAAACTTAACTCTATTATCACTGACAAATAACTTGTGTGTTTAGTTTTGCTTATTATTTCTAAGAATTTTAGTTTAAAAAATTATTATATTAAGATACATTTAACGTTTATGATCTTTGAATATTTGTTTGTTATCTATGTTTATACCTTGTTTGACAACTACATATTGAATTTTTGTATTATTATGCTACTTATGTGAAGTTATATAAACATATTTTTCTTTATAAATATTTTTTTCTTTAACAAGCGCAGGTAATGGGTACAAGACGGGTATGCGAGTATCCAAAGGGTACGGGTACAGGGATTAATGTTTATACTCACGCGGGTATGGGATCGGGTACGGGTATTTTTTTAAAACGCGAGTATGGAAATGAGTACTGTAGTACCCTACTCATACCCTACCCATTACCATCTCTGCTGAACAGTCTCATCTTGGAAATTTTGCAACATCATGCGCCACGCAAATGATTGTTTTCTAATAAATTTTAAGAACTTTTTTATAAATTTCCTTTACGTTGACCTAATAAAAAATAGAGTGGATCCAATAAAAAAAGGAGAAAAATCTTCCTCGCCTTTGACCTCTTTTCAAAGAGCAAGAAAATTGGCTCTTTTCTATAGTATTAATCAGTCGGGAGTTGTTAGTATCATGAAGGTTGCTAATACCTATGAACAAATTTGGGTACAGAAATAATCGTCTTATTAGCACAAAGTTCGTATGGTATTACAAATCAGGTACATAGCTTTTGCCTAACACTTCTTGTTGGCATCCAGCGACATTATTACAACTATAATAGTTTTACATACTATATGCCTTCACCACGTTGAACAAGTGTCAACTGGATCCAAAGCGTGAGCAGAGAACTATGTAAAGAATATGCCAATAAATCATCTACACAAACCAACCAAATTCAAACAGGAATGTGTAATGGAAGAAAAGCTTATTGTGAAAGGAGGCTCTTAGTTAGACCCTTGGATGTTACAACATTGGTTGCATTATTCAAGAAACGGGTAGTCTGTATAACCAAGAACCGGATCATTAGTGTAGAATGTCTCCCTGATATACTTGTTGAGAGTAGCATCAAGTGAAAATCTATTAGGCAAATCTGGATTAGCCAGGAACAAACGACCATAAGCAACAAGATCTGTCCTGTTTTCAGCCACGGCATCGATGCCGTCTTTCCGGTCATAACCTCCTGCAGCAATAAAAGTGCCATTGAAGGCCTTTCTCATAGGCACCAAGCTGTGAGGGCATTCAACTTTTTCTCCAACAGTTTTCATTCTGGGTTCTACCATGTGGCAGTACAAAATACCATATTTATTCAGGGCATTCACCATATAAAGGCCGAGTTGTTTAGGATTTGAGTCTCCACATTCTGCATATTCTGCAAAAGGTGACAACCTAATTCCAACTCTCTCCGCCCCTATCTCATTCACAACAGCTTCAACAATTTCCAGAGGAAATCGGCAACGGTTCTCAAGCGATCCACCATATTCATCTGTTCGGTCATTCACTTTATCTTTCATGAATTGCTCAAGCAGGTAACCATGAGCCCCATGAATCTCAACCCCATCAAAACCTACAATTTGCACCAGTAACACCATACATGATTAGTAAAGCAACAACAGTCTATCATCTGAAACTATAAAATCGCAATTTGAAGAAACTAAAAGGTGAGGCAAGTTACCAGCTTCCATAGCATTCCTTGCAGCAAGTCTGAAGTCATTGACAACACTAGGAATTTCATCTGTCCTTAGCCTCCTTGGTGGCGTGAATTGCACTTCATCAATGCCATTACTCCGAATTTGCGGCGAGAGTGGCTTGTCTGTAGAAGATATCGGTGCTTGTCCATTGGGCTGATACTCTGTGAAAAAAAAAATTATTCCATTAATTTGTTTAAAAAATGAGAATTTATATAGTTAGTTAACCTTAAACCCAAACATAAAAACAATAAGCTCTTGATACTTGAATAGGTTAAAAGTAAAATTGAATTGAGGAATGAAATAATAAACAGCAAATACCTGAATCTGAAACCCTTCCAACATGCCAAATTTGACAAAAGAATATACCACCTTTGGCATGAACGGCATCGACAATGGGCTTCCAAGCTTGGACTTGCTCCTTCGTCCATATGCCAGGGGTCTGGGGATAGCCTTGAGCGGTGTCGGAAACGCCAGTGGCTTCAGTAATGAGAAGGCCTCCTTTGGAAGTTCTCTGAGAATAATAGAGAATGGCGTGGGGTTGAGGAACGTTGCCGTAAGATCTCTGTCGAGTGAGGGGTGCCAAAACAACTCTGAAATTCAATAATGAAAATCAATCAGTAAAATGGTAAATTGGAATGGGAAAATAGAGGAATGATTCATGAACAGTGTATCAGTAGGTACCTATGGGAGAGATCGAATTGGCCCATTTTGTAAGGAGTGAGAAGAGGATTAGGCGCTGCCATTTCAGAAGATGAAATAATAAGAGTGGAGAGTGATGATGAATAACAGAGACTGAACTTGGACGAGAAATGAGAATTGTAAAGAGAGAGTGAGTGGTATTTATAGAAGAACGAGAGTGGTTTCTGCGGTGGCGTGTGCCATTGCGTAGCAGCAGTCAGCTTTGACTTTGACCCTTAACGCCACCACCTCACCTATGACATCACCCAAACCAAGCAAACCCATCCCGCGCAGCCCATAGGTTCTTTTCACTTGTTCAAGTGAAAAAATCTTGACCAAAAATATTGGAAAAAATCAATTTTTAAATATTAAATTTTATATTAAATATATAAAAGTTGATTATATTAAATTTTTACTGTTCAGTAGAAGTCTATTAAAGTATTTTTTTAAAATATTTTATTGTAAAATATGTCAATTTTAATAGATTTTAGTACATTTTGAAAATGTCTTAAATTATTAAAATTTAAATATTTAAAAATTATTTTTTACACTAAAATCATATTTATTTTTTTCATTTTTATGTTTTAAATATATATTTGAATATTTTTAAAAATATTTATTTTTATTTTAAATTTTATAATTAATATTTTTCTATAAATTAAAAGTATGCTTAAATTATAGTTAATAGAAAAATGAAAAAAATAACTAATCACATTGATTTAAATTAATTTTATTTATTTATATAATATTTTTAATTAATTTAATTTATTTAAATATAAAATATGAATGCATGATCATACTAAAATATTTCATATCAATATCTCTTTATTTACAATTTCACCATTGTAATATATAAAAAGATAAATAAAGATCCATGTCATTTCATCATAATTTTCACATTCAATCTCAAACAATATAGAATTGAAAGTTGTATATTTATAATACGAGATATTTTTAATACATGTTAGTGGATACTAAAATATTCTATAATCAACTTTTGTTTTGAATTATAATCTATTAAAATCAATATTAGTTTTTGAATTGAAATCTATTAAAATTGACATCTAGCAAAATTTACACTTAATCGACTTACGCAGTAAAAATCTACTATAATCAACTGTTATATTGTTATTTTGTCATAATGTAAGACTAAAAAAATTAACTATAATTAACTCTTATTTAAAAACTAAAAAATTTAAAATCAATTTAAGTCAACTTTTATTACATATAAAATCAGTTTTTAAATAGATTCTGACTGAAGCATGTAGTTTAATATCTATTTTTTTATTTTGTTTATGTTAAAAATTCGTAGCTACTATGCTACCTTCACATCAAACAATATATGAATGTGGATCTAACATTATTAATTAATTTTCACTGTATGTCTGTTATTGATCCTTATTAATTTTTTAAAAATGTCTTATAAAATATATTTTATGTGATGATATTTATAAAAAAGTTTGATAAATTTTAAATGTTTTTACAAAGTTACGTTGATACTAATAAATTTATTGAAATAAACTAAATATAAATTATGAAAGTAATAGAGTTTTTCTTTATAAATTATTCACAAGTAAATCTAAGTATATCCTAAATCAGTTAATTCATCATTTTTAGTGGAGCATACAGGATTTTAGTTTTTAAAGTTTAAACAAGCACTAAAAGGAATAAAGAAAAAACCTAATGTGAAATAGTATAAAAAATGGTTTTACAGACAATCCATTGAATATATATTCTTAGAGATAGATAAAAGAATCATTAAAAAAAATATGTAAAAGATGATGTAATAAAAAAAGAAAAATATATAAATTTTTGTAAATAATAATAATAATTCTTTATATTATAATATATTAAGTTAGATATTATTCTATTAAATTTTTATAAAAATTAACTAATAATTTTTTAATTATAAAAAATATTGATCAATTTTTAAATATATTTTGAAATAAAATTTAAAGAGAGAAACTAAAGGATTCGTAAGCTTAAAAAGTAGAGAGAAAGAAAGAAGAATGAAGGCAGAGAGAAATAAGCTTATGTTAAGAGAAAATGCGTGTAATTTCTTGAAGGTTTTGATACATTACAAACATGTATTTATAGTTATTTGTGTGAATATGAATAAAATTTATATTAATTAAATGAGCCCAAAATAAGGCTGCTTTATGCAGACGGGAGACAAGTTCCAATTCTTAGCTAAAATATGTTGTTCTGGAAAGGTAACAGATATTCCTTTCATTTCTGATGAGCTATCTGTTCTCTTGATATTCCATTGAGTATGAGTACTCGAGTCTTTCAAAAATTGGTCACTTACATTAAGTTAGTGGTCTCAAGTAACCTTTTGTGTTCATGAACAACTAGGATTGCATCGCATGTTATTGGAATACATGACTTTGTAGTGTCAAAAATTAGTCTCATGCCACGTTGTATGCTTTGCTTCTTAAAGAAATCTGTATTACTTTATGGTTCTCCTAAGCTTTTGTCTTTTTCTATGTTGACTTGGACGTTAGTTGCAGATGTGGGGTGTACGCTCATGTTACCACCTTTGTTAGGCTGTAATTGGCATAAGCGTTCAAAACAATTGCCTCCTTGCGCCCATGAAATAAATTTTGTGTGTTCAAATATTTCTTGGGCGAAACATTCACTTACTGAAAAGAACCTCTTCATTGAGCTCCAATTTTTTGTCATCTTTGAGCAGTTTAATTGATTTTTCCAATCCCTTTGCATTTACCATTGTTTCTTTTAGTTGTGACATCTTCTTGATGCTTTTTCTGATGAACATTTATTACCTTTTGTCTCTTCTTTTACGCTTTTATAGCTTCTTCTCCTTCTCGTGATTCTGCTTATCTCAAAATAATGCTTCGTCAAAGACAGACTTCTAAACTCTTCCATCTGAACCAGCCTTGGTTGCTTCCAGCATCTTCCCCTAGCTTCCTCTTCCTTGTTTTGAACTGTCTAATGCTTTAGTGTGTTTGGTGCTTGACATACTTTTTTCTTAGCGTGACTTTGATCCTACTCCTCCTTTAGGTAATGACTTCTTTTCTATTTATTATGAACATTTGCGTCAGATTCCTAGCTTCATCTTGTTGTAATCCAGTTGCGACTTCTTCTACTGCAATAGGTCCTTTTCTGCTATGCTCAAGTCTATTCTATCAAGAATTTCCTTGGACGCCATTGTACTTTAAGAAGTTGTTTCTAGTGTTGACATTTTTAAGTGCTCTTCTTTTGTCTTCATAAAACAAACATCTCTTTTGAATTTCAAGGACGAAAGATTTACTTTTTCCCTTTAGTGAATTTTATTTACACTTGCTTCTTTATAAGACATACTAAGTTGTTTAAGTATACTTTTATAAAGTAATATTCATTGTTTTATAATAGATTAGAGTTACGTAATTTGATTTGACTTGCTGCAAGAAGCTTGACAATGAAAAATAATATTTTTGTAAAAAATTAGAAATTTACCTTTTGATGTGAAATAATTGTTCTATTATATTTGATAAGTTTCTTTTCTTCCTCTTCTTTTGTTGCTTTCTACTATTTTTCATGTTCGGCCTATGAGTTGGCTTTTGAAGGTCTTTAAGTGTTGTGCTCTATCTGCCATTCTGTTTTTTTTTTTTTTTTTTTGGCTTTGCTACATTAATCCTTCATTGTTGGTTGGAACCAGATCGTTCCTTCTCTTGAACATATTTCTATTCTTCTAAAGCTTTCAAATTTGATACCATGAGCCTTTCTAATACTTCTAGTCCTCGTCAAATTATGTATATGGCTATAAAATTGAAAGTCATACTAAAAAGCTTTGCTTCTCGTTATTCAAAGAGCTTTACATGAAGTGCCACATTTCTAAGAGACAACAAGTAGCTTGTTCTTTCAGGCGTCTATTTTCAAGTGTTTCTCACTTTATGTTCAGACTCAAAATTCCTTAAAAGTTATTGATGATTCAAAATATTTTTCGCTCTCACTCTTTGTCATTCATAGGTCACCCTTCTCAACCCTTATTGTCTATCTTGAATTTCAAGCTTCATTTTCTCTCTCTCAATATCTTTATTTTATTGTTGTTTCTATCATTTTTTCTTATTTTGATGCTTTTCCAAGTTCTTGCACCTTGCTTTCTCTAGAGGATTTAATTTTATTATCGTTCGTAAAAGTTTGTCCTCTTGCAACTGATTTTCTTTGATTTTGAAGGCACCTGGTTTGATAATCTCAACTTCACCTCTGTTGGTTGTTTTTGTTTTTTCTTTTGCTTGCATTGACAAATTGAAAGTTGGCTTGAAAATCCTTGATATAGAGTATTCTCGCCCTTTGACCGGAAAAAGACAAATAGGAGCAAAATCATGTCAAATATAATAAATTGTACTATGATGTTTCTTATGCTTTTTCATTATGACACTTTATTGATTTATAAATGTGTTATTTTAAGAACTTTTGTCTTTGTATTTTGTTACTTTGAAGAGAAAAAAATATTTTTAGATTGGAAATTCCTTATAGCATTTGTAGTTGTGCAATATTTACATGAGATATGATTCATTGTGACGTGATGTTGCGCATATTCACAATGTAATATGATTCATTGTGACACATAGTGCGTGATATTCATAATGAGATATTTTGTATGTTGAAAATTCTTATGATATTAATGTTCTTTGAAGACTTTGTGACATGTTTTTGTGGCATGTATATTTGATATTTTTTGTATTACTAGTATTAAATTGTAAGTATCTCAATTTTTTAACTTATTATATGAATTGATAAAGATAAATATAATATCATAAAAGGTAAGAATATTAGATATAATAACATTCAATCATCATTACCATAATCTTTATACAAGCACCATATATTAAATAAGTACACTTGTCATCTTAAATATTTTATTTATGCATTATAAATTTATGAATTAGCAAGTGTAAAAAAAATGCAAATAATAATAAAATTAGGGGTTATATAGATTTAATACAACATGTGCTTAATAAAGGTATGTTTATTTCTCTTTTACGCGAATTTGTTGTTCATGATACAATTTATTGTAAGATTCACTTTGTATAAGTTCATCAAGTTACATATCTTTCCCTTGTAAAATATACTGTTGTTTCTATTAGTATTTATAACAAGCTAAATTAATCTAGACTTCCTTTT